TCTATTTTAACCTTAACCTTTTCTTCCTGTCTTTGATAGTGGAGTCCTTGGGGTTCTCTGAGCTTGATTGTTTTCTTGCAAATGTTTTGTTACCTGGCTAGGTAACCTCTTCAGTGCTAACACTGAAGTCTACAAGTGTGAATGTGCTAGCACTGAAGATGTTACTTAGCCGGGTAACGAAATGTCTGCAGGAAAACAACCAAGCTCAGAGAACCCCAAGGACTCACAGTTCAACCTTGAGCTACACATATTCTCTTCTGCCGTTGATAGTTTTTGCATTTCTCTCTCTCTCTCTGCATAATTTTCCTTCTACACATGAATTTTCCCTCTATATACACAATTCAATTGGTTTCTCATATACTTATTTTTTGCAGCAATCATTCTCTTACAAGCATTTTTTCCTCCTCCATGGCCTCTGTCATTTCATCATTCCACTAAGTATCCTTTTTTAATACTTCCCATTAGTGTAACTCTACACATTTTTGTGGTACTCTGTAATCAGTTCCAAAGAGTTTCTACATCCTACTTACTTTTCCTTAATTATCTTGGGAGGTTAATATATCTTCTAATACTTTCTTCATACAGAATTCATGCTTTCTCTTCCTGCAATGGTTCTAGTTTTACATCAATTTCTTTCGCATATTTCATGTCAATTTCTTCTCCAAGATCCACTTTTGATGTTACTAAATAATTGTCTGTCTCTCATGCATAACTCTCTTACACTTGTATATCTCACTTATTTTTCTCAGTGTTTCATCAGAAACAATCAAATCAGTTATGTTTTTTTATTCATTCACTGTGTGTACATATGAATAGATTTATTCTTAAACCACATATTAGAAACAGTCCTTTTTCTAAGCAGATATTTCCCAAACAGTCACCATTCTGATTCATTCGTGGGTCTCCAAATGTCCCAATCTCTTTTTTGTATTATCTCATCACATTCCCACCCATCTATTCATGTCACCTAGTAGAATATTTTTCCCTTGGATTGTATTCATTCAGAAGATTTCACAATTTTTGATAAAACTCATTCCTAATTCTTCCATTATCTCCATCCACTGGAGTATAACATGTAGCTGTAACTTTCCTATGGGTTTCTGCTTTCATACCCACCCACAACATTCTAGGTGACATAATTTGTACATTCTGATGTACATTTTAGTTTTTTTGTTCATAAATAAACTTACACTTTCACTTTCCTGCATGTATTTATCAATCCCATTCCATAAGATAAAATCATCCTCATTCAGATCCATTACATCCTCTGCTTTCTCTTAGTTTCACATATACACAACGTATCGTTTTTTTCAATTCATTTTTTCATGCTGTTTATATTTACTTCTTGTATAGTCCAAGTCACAATCTTCCATTTATCATAATTGTCCCCAAATGGGTCCATACATATTCTACATATTGCCCATTATGGCTTTAGTCAATCAGATGGCACTTAGTATAATACTTTCTAATAAGTTAGAGAATGTATAGACTGAGTTATCAGCCTTAGTTGCACCCATGCCACATGCAGCATTCCCTACTAATAGTAAGAACAGTGCTGGTTAGTTTTGGCACATTTTGGCTAATGTGCCACAAGTCGAATCAAAACCCAGTTTTGCCCCAAGCATGTTAAAGCTATGCTACACAAGCTAAGATCTCTAATCTACAGTCTACCATATCGGCTAACATACTGTTGCCTGCAACTCAACTATCCAGGAATTGCTTTTGTGCCATATTTTGACACACATATGTGGATTCTTTTATAAACCATTTCAGAATGAAACTGGTTATCCTACTAAACTTAGTTTGATTATTGCAAATTATAAATAGATTCCCAAAGAGTATTTTCAGAATCTAATCTGATTATTATTCAGAATCTAATCTGGTTATATCAACAAGGAGGGATTAATAAGAATGATAGTAGGGAGGTATACTTGACTTCATATTCTTTTCCTAGTTGTGAAACTTAGGTTCAAGGTAAATGCTAGTTGCATCCAAGTGAAGGGAGCCTATTTACTGAAAGATGATATTAACCCTGTTTACACATTCAGTCATTTTTTTCAAGCTATTTGGACATGTTTAAGCAGTGCGATTTCTGATTAGTGGTTCAAGATGTTGAGACCTTATAATTGCCATTATTAAATAGATCAGTATGATATCTGAAATAGTGCTGTAGGAAATAAGGAAAAGTGGGTGACAAGAAAATCCATTTCACTTAGAAAAGCCGCATCAATTTTCATATATTTTTCTTTTCTTTTAGTTCCAGATTACAAATATAAAAGTGATGAGTGGTGCTGAATAAGTAAAGCTATAGAGAATATTTGTGTTAAATAGCGTACCCCCTTTTAAACAGAGGCACATACCAGTATTAAACTACTGGATAAAATATCATTTGACTCTGTATTCTTCACTCCCTTATCCCTCTTTTCTGTTACATAAAAAGACAATATCCAGTTTAGATCATGATATGCAAATATAGTCACTGTAACCCAAGCTGAATACAGATCCTATATAGGAGGTCCACCCTATGGGTACTTTGTATATTTTTAATGGTAAGTGTGTTAGGAGTAAACAGTGAATGGTAGTGGAGAAGCAGAAAGATAAATGTTACGTCTCTAAAATATTGTAGTGCCCGCTGAGGCTTCTCATCCAAATAATTTAGGCTGAGAAAACTTAAAAAGACTGATAAGCTTTTTCTCTTACCCTGATCCTCCATAAGCCTATTAAGAACTCAGCCTTAATTTTATCTCTTCTTTTTCATCTTTCCAAAGGACAGTTTTACTAACAATTCAAGCACTCTCATATGTGGCTTTTAGTTAAAGTTATTTGACTCTCAAAGTATAAAATGTATTTTTCTTCATGTTTTTGATTTAAGTATTTGACTCCTGACTTTTAATAAGTCTGAAGAGTGGCTCAGAAATTTAACAATCAATAAATATTTTGCAGGATCAAGCTCTGGGTGTTATCTTTGCTTGCCTCCAACTCTTTTCTTTTCCTACACAGAGGAACTGTGGATGCTAGAAAGGACTTTGTTAGTGGTTTTTTGGATAATCAGGCCAACTGATGGCATTGTTTTGTTCTAAAACTGCTGAAATGGTTTTAATGATAATAATCGAAGCTGCTTTTTTTGTCTCTGAAGGGGAAAATAGGCCAGTATGCTTTATTGTTTTCCTTCCCTTTTATTATAATCTCCATATGTCCTTTCCTAAACCAATTTACTTCATTGATGTGGTATCATTTACAGCACCAATTCCAAACTTTTAGACTGACAATTGTCAGAGTACTAAAAAGAGCATAAATGTAATGGAAAAAAGTCTTCCTAGAAATGTCTTAATTTATGTGGCACTCCCTGAAAGAAGAGAAGACTGCAGATAATTAAATCATTGTATCGATGGCTTTTTTTTTCAATTGCCTTGTTACATGTTCATGATTGAATTGAGTAATATCCTTCTACATAAAAGTAATGTCCACTTTATTGTGGAATAGATCTAATTGTGTGGCTAAGCTTCATATGGTTTTAGGTCATATTTATGCAGAAATATTGAACATTCAAAAGGGTTCACAAACTTTTAAGTACTACTGCATTTTCTGATAGCAGTGGCCAAGAAGGGGCTTTAGGAACCTTTTCCTAAAAACAAGGGAAACAATGTCACTCCAAATATTGCTAGACCACAATTCTGTAATTCCAGCCATTCTTGCCTGTTGTCAAGCATTCCGAGAGTTTCCCATCCACACTTGGAACATGCTCAAGCAGCTTGAGTTGTATGGAAATATTTAGACGTACATGCTGCAATATTCACTGTGCATTTATTGAACTTGTGAGGGAGAGTGGAATCATGCCTATTAGTTATGTTTGTTCTATGCTGTTGCATGAACTGGTCATAGTTCTTGGTAGTCACATATTTGGTATCAATATGAAGTGGCCTTACGCAGGCAAAAATGTACCCCACATTGGTTTCTCTCCATGGTAGCTGGAACTCTAATTAATCTCTACATGCATAGGACCTCTTTATTATGATACACCCAAAAAATGATTCCTGGGAAACATATCTGATGCATGACATTAGGCCTGTGGAAGCACCAGAGGGAACCATATAAATTAGTATGGTTACCATAAATAATAGTATGTGAGCTGTAGGAGAAGGAAGCTCTGTTTCTCTTCAGTAAAATAAGAGTCATGTTGCTTAATCCTACTTAATATTAATTTGAAGATGCTGCCATTCATCCTTTCTTGGCATATGTTACTGTGATTATTCTTTCCTTTTTACATTCACACCTCTTTCTGTCTCTTTAACCCCAACTTTGTCTCCTAGTTTTGTATTTGCCTTACTTGTTAACTTAAGCATCATGCAAGTTACAGGACTATACTTCTTCTTTCCTTTTCCTGCGACTGTTATTTCTAGCGGAAATTGGTTTTATTTGCAGTATGCTATAAAAACAGAAGTTGTTTTATGATATAATTCTTTTCTGGTTTTGAATCTGGGGTTCCAAATGCATTAAAGAGATAAATAATTTGTAAGGCTGAGCATGGATCTAAACTGGTTTAGAAAATGTGCTTCAGAAGTCATATGAACACAGTATCTCTCTGCTACTCATTAAGTCTGCCGTATCTTTTTTCATGCTTGTTCAAATGCCTGAAGAAAGATGTGAGTGCTTTAATGAGCTTGTACAAATTCCAGTCTACTTCTTCTGAATCATTTTAGAACCAGCCTTGGTGATCGGTATGCTTTGCACTAGTAAATAGCTTCATTTTAGTTACTGTATATAAGCGAGGAATAACATATCAGATTCCTAATTTGGGGAATCCAGTTTCAGCCTTTGTTACAATTTTGTCATTTTAGTCAGACTGCAAAACTATTAACTGGGATGTGAGTGAAAGAAGGTTGCCACAATCACTTTAAAGATTAACCACCACTTTTCTGTTCTTCTCTTTTTTTTCCCCAGGTCGAATTCGCACAAGGAGGCAAAGCTCTGGAAGCGCCAGTAGTATCACTTCAACACCTGCTGACACTCGAGGCCGCAGTCGGGCTAAAGTAGTTTCGCAGTCCCAGCGTAAGGAACCATTTAGTCTGGTTTTGTGGAGGAGGCAGTATATTTTTCCAGTCTGTTTTTCTTGCCTGCCTTATTTTCATATAAATTCAGTGCTATCAGTATACTTCAAAGGCAATTTCTAAAGTTATTTCCTTTAGTTAAGTCCCAAAAAATTAGGCATGATACACAGATTAAAAAAAAAAATAAAGTTGGGACCTAACTCTTCAGGATATTCATTGGCTCTAAGCATGCCTATGAGCCACTCATTTATTTCCCCAAAAGCTGCTGTTTCACATCTACTTACATAGGAACAGGCAAGCTTAGTCTTTCAGCTTGTTGACACTATTTGTATGAGATGTCACAAAATGGCTGTCATGAGGTAATAACAAGTTAGAAAGCACTGATTTTCCAGATTGTCTGCCACCTCCTCTAGGTCCATTCCCTCAACGGTATACTTACTTACTACCCCTTCTCACCTTTCTGTCCTTTTAAGAAAAGAGGGGCACTGTTCCAAAAGGAAACACTGGGCTACAATCACTTACTGTTTCCATTTTCTAAGATAGCTTATGGAATCTATTTGTAAAGATGGGATGTTCTTAGAAATGAAGATACTAGAGGTCAGCTCTTTGTTTTGCAATATGCTGCTTCTTGATTTTTTTTAATTAAAAAAATACCTTTAAACATAAACGATCAGGTGGGGCAAAGAGTCTAGGGAGTACTAGACAGAGTGTCTGTAAGCACTCTGTCCTCACATGGAGCCATATTAAGCACCATGGTGGTGATGCCAGTAATAATGTTTCACACATGCATGAACTCTTGTGCACAGAAGTAGTGACTTGGCTCATACCACATATGATGCCTAAGCCAGGAATTATATTGCCAATTTGTGCTTTATTTGAGTTCAGATAAAATATCCTAATTTAGGGCCAGCAAACCATAATTTGAAACTATGACTTGGTTTATTAATTTTGTTGTTTTTTAACTATGAGTTGTCAGTATGTCTAAATCTGATACCATGGCTTATTCCTGGTTTATTTTTGTGTTCCTCCCAAGCTTCTGGGTAATCTAGTAGTGCAAGATAAGAGCAGCTGGAAAGTTGCTACTCCTCAAGCCAAGCTGAGGTTGCTTTCTTTTCTTCCCAATCTCTTTTTTTCTCCCTGACAGCAGTTTTCTTTCCCCATTCATATTCTTCCTGAGTGCAAGGCAAATCTAGGGAACTGATTTTCAGATGTAAAATCACAGTAGGGAAACTAGTAATGCCCAGAAAAGTACATACTGTTTAGGTAAACATGCATTCTGGCTACAGGATGTTTAGTACAGTGCTTGTCAAGCACCAGGCCTGTTAATTTATCCTGCATCATGGCAGTGTATCTTCCCAGGTGTAGGGTGAATAGACACCCAGTTTCAGGGCCCTGTTCATTTTAGTCTTGACAGTGAATTTGCAGAAAGATCTTCATTCATAATGATCCCTAGAGGAAAAAAAGGCTTCAAGCTCTTCAAAATAATAATTGGCTGTCTGTCTTAATGCGTTCACTAATTACTGAAGAAAGGGCACAAAATATAATGAGGTAAACAGGTCAGATGTCCTCTTCACTCTGGTTTCTACTTATCAATATATCTCACTTTTTTAATCATGACTGAATGTGCAATTATAATTTTAGGTAAGGAGTAGTATAATGTTTATCTAAAAATGCTATTTAACTGCTTAGTGTAAATGCCTGGAGGAGAAAAACTGTATATTCTGTGTCAAAGCTGCTCATTCATATGGCACAAACATGTCCACTGGTCCTGAATAATTTTTTTTCTCCTGATTTTTTTTCCAGTTTTAGGCAGATTTCTACAGATTTTTACACACATATATACACACACACAACGTTTTCTCCTGATTTTTTTGCCAGTTTAGGCAGA